CACAGCAATGCAGCCTGTGCAAAGCTTCTGACTCCAAGGGCTTTTTTTGTCAGTGCTCTTCTTTCATGGGCACTGCAGCCATAGGGAAGCTCTTGTGGGAAGGAAGAGTCAAAGCTGGGAGCATGTAACAATTGAAATGCTCGTCTTACTGAGGTACAAACCTGAGCCATTGAGCAGTCTGAATTTCTAGGCACCATGTCAACACAGAAATAGTTACTTTTAAATGAACTATGCGATGTACAAACTCTTTCTTGCTTGAATGTGACACAGTACAACATTTCCACACAGTGACAGTGCCCAAAAACGTGTCAGACCAGGCCCCTGTTCCCAGCTGGTTCTCTGTGTGTGGAGACACTGGTCAGTGAGCAGAGCCTCAGCTGGCCAGTGGGCTTGCTAAGAGGTCTCTGCCATTCATTTTGGCAGGGGTAAAACGACATTAATAAGACTTCAATTACCTCAGACTCTGCTAATTTGAAACAGCTCCATCTGCTAAGTCGAGCCGCAGCAACCCCTGTGAGAGGCTGAGCTGCAGGAGAAGGTGGGGATCCAGCTGGACCCAGCACGTCCAGAACGACAGCATGTGCTCCTAGCTGCTGGAGGGGCTGGAGAAAGCCTTGCTGGAAACACATGAAGCCCTTGCACAGTAAAGGACACCTCTGTTAGAAACATATACTAACTTCTAGATACAATTTAAATCGGGACAAAGTCGACTAAGCAAAAGAAAACTGTTTGTACTGACTCAGCTGAGCCAGCTGTGAGCCTCTCTCACCCTAGAGCTGAACACAAAATGGCAACTCTTAATTCCCTTTGGGGCTGGGGCAGCTCCTGCCCCCTTTCCCATCAGCTGGGTACTCTGGAACTCACATTCTTCCCTGACCACTTATTTTTGTGTTCCCTCCCCTCTCATCCCACTTCCTTCAACCCCACCCCTCTCCCAGCTCACAGCAACACCCAACAAATTAACTAGAACAAATCCAAACCACAAATAACAACACACAGAACCAACAACTTTCCTTGTTTTACCTAATAACCTTTTGGCAGCAGTAGAATATTACCTCATCTCTCACACCTGCAAGAGCCAGACTTGGCTGCATATTAGCAGGGTGACATCCAGCACAGCCAGCAAGTGCCTCCATCCTGCAGGCATGGCTGAGGGAACATTTTCCTGTGTTTCTCCCACTAAAATACATACGTGGAGGCAAAGTGAGAGCCAAGAGGAGAGCACGACTAAATTAACACTTGTTAGGAAGTGACAGCCTAAGGCCACAGATGGTATTAAGGCTCACAGATTCCCATACCTCACTGAGTCAGAAACATTTCACTTGTCTGCACCTACTCAAAGCAGAGGAAATCAGTGCACAAACAAGCAAAACCATGCTGTAGCAGGAGCTGAGCTCTCGCTGCCAGCCTGCCCTGGGGCAGCAGCAGTGGCTGCAGCCCTCACAGAGGGCTCCGTGGTGCCACTGGGGCTGCTGCACACCTGGAGTGCAGGGGGGCAATGCTCACAGCCGACTGCAGCTGCCACTCTCCTACCAAATCCCACACATCTGCTCCAGGGCCACAGGAAGGAGCCCCATGGACACAATTCATCTTCTGTGGAGGATGGGATAAGTGCCAGGATCAGCCAGCTCCTCTTCCAGGCGATGAATCACTTGGAGACTTTGTCCAGGTCTACAAATGGATGTGGTAACAGGATTGCTGAACCTCGGACATGAGCCACTCCACACCAGCCCAGACAAGCAGAGAACATTCAGAAAGTTCATTAGGTCTCATCAGGTGTGAATGTGCAATGGAATACATCAATCTTCCATCACCTTTGCAGACATGGACACTGACAGCACTATCCTCCAAAGCTATAAGGAACGATGGAGTGCCCAATGCCCTAAACAATCAGCAATCACACAAGGGGATGCTGGTGCTCACCCAGCTCACTCCTACATCATTTCACACCATCCTCAAGTTTCAGAAGTCGCAGCCCGGGGGAGTCCCCGCCGCCCGGAGCCGGCAGTGCCCCTGCTGGCCATGAGCTCTGCCAGGGCTGGCACAGCTTCCCCGTCCATCCCAGACCCTTCCACCACTCCACCGCACATTCGAGCCTGGGTACCAGTTTTTCCATCTGAGGTGATTAGATTGGTGGTTTTCACATGCTGTTCTACTGTAACAGGAAAGACAAGTAATTTCTAATAGGTAAAAAAAAAATGATAAGCAGCTCACTGAGTCTGTTCAGCTGAACAGGAATATTTTGGGTTATTTCCCAGCCCAGCTGGAGGGCTGCACAACTGCTCAGTGACACAGTTTATATCCACCTAAGCAGCATTCAGGCCAGAATGGGGATTACTGGCATGGGCTGGGGGTGGTTGTTCTTCCTATGACTACAAAATGTACAGAAGGTGAGAAACCACTTTTCTATAAGAGCTCATATAATGTCTGCCTTCACCAGTATCTGTCCTACAGAGCAGCACCTTGCAGACCTCATCTCCAGCTAATTCCATCAGATGGGACACAGAAAAGGCCCAAAGCACTTCAAACTGACTGGCAGCCACTGGTCCAGAGTCAGCCTCTGCAGTGTCTGTGCTAAGTACTTAAACCCTGTGAATTAAAGGAGAGCATACATGATGTCAGGAGAAAAACCACTGCAGTCTCAACAAGAGTACTAAGTACTTCCTTTACCAGTAATATACTGTCAGGAACTCCCTGTGCCTATATGCAGAAAGGCTGATTTGCTCCAGCATTTGAAACTTTGTTTTAGGTCTAAGAACTATCCCTTTTAATAAATAAATTTAGGCTGCCATATGCTGTTCATCTTCTGCAATGATAGGAGACAGAATAGGGAGTATAATGTGACAGACTACACAAATATGCTTGGGAAGGTACTGAATCTCAAAAGCTACATAAGCTCTTTTCTCTCAAATTATATTTATTATCTCTTACTCTTCAGATCAGATTAGCAGTAAGCAAATCCTGCATATAGCACCAAAAGCACCTTGGCATTCAAGCAGTTCTGCATCCACACTCATTGCTTCCTACTTCAGGCAGGAGCAAGGTTAAATACAACTGAGAAGACAGAATAGGATTTTTCCCAGAGAAAACAAGCAAGTAAAATTATCTTTACAAGTTCAGTATGATAACACAAAGTTAACAATGGTATTTCCCAGCCAACTACGCTATTTCAGAAGTGGGATGTACAGTTTTTGGCCAGAGTCCTGAAGTGAACTTTATCTGTCAACATACCACGTCAACAAAGTCTAAGTAGGCTTCTCTTCCTTTCCCTGAAACCCAGAGTGCTCCAACCAGAGACTGTGGCTTTGGCTCATCACCAGTTCTTCACATCTGCAAGACTGTCATACATTGAATACTTTGTTATAAAGCAAAACTCCTTATTCCCCAAGTTTGTTATGCTGAGACATTTTACTAAGAGAACTGGAGGTCAACAATGAGATATTCTGAACAGCCAGCCAGCAACCACAAAATTCATGGCAAGCAAAGGAGGGCCTGGGAGATTAGAGAGCAGCTATTGAGCTCTGCTGTGCTGGGTCTTCAAAGCTTTTAGGGAAAAATATTGCAGTTTCTATAGCTACCTGCACTAAGCATTCACACAAAGCTCAGTCACAAGTCTAAAGTCTCACTTCAGTATTATTAACAACTTGAGCTCAGCAAGTCTCTGTCTGGACAAGGCAAGTCCTCTTTCTTCAATCAGTTGTGCATGTTTAATAGAAAAATCTTTAGCAAGTACAGGTGCATGCTGCATCTAAATGAAGCAATAATCCTCAAATTGAGCAGTTCTTTACCTATAAAGCACAAGAGCAGATGAAGATGCATTGCTGAGCCACACCGCTTTAATACTGATGGAATAAATTGATGCCACGTATTATATCTAACAGGTAAAACTCTCCCATACTACAAGTCTCTCCCAAGAGGACAGCAGGGGAATTGCTTCTAACCCTGCCCAACACCTGTTTTAAGCCTTACCTCAGTCTTTGCACAGCACAGGGCAATGCAGGACAAATCAAACCAGCCTTGGTCAAATGACAACACTGACTGCAAGTGGATGTTTTGGTGCAATTGAAGTTTCTTTCACTGTCTCAAGCCAGTTCCATGCATTGGTACATTAACTATTGCCCAAGAACATCTTTAACCAGCTTATAGTTGTACAACCATTACCAGTTCTGGCTTTCAGTTCACCTGCAGCCATCCATGGTCCCATGGAGTCAGGCTCAGATCACACCCAGCCAGGGTGTGGCTCCAAAATCAGTTCACCTGCAGAGCCACATATTGGTACAAGAGCCTGGAACTAACACCAATACCTACATTTCTGAAACATTTGCCTGTTTCTCCATAACATTTGCTTTTTTTTCAGCAATTAACTTTCATTTCTTTGCAAATAATTCAGAAATGGGACCTCATTCCAGTCCTCCATGTGTTGGCTTGGGGCCAATACTCACATGTAAACAGAGCAAAAGGGCAAAGGAGAATCAGAGGGAAGGATTATTCCCAGCCTCCCTGAAGGGCATGACAAAACCCTCCTCCAGTCTACAGCAGTTGATTAAGATTTGCTTGCAAAACATCCTACTGATTTCCATATGTGTTGAGACAGAACACTGTCCAAAATCCTGATCTATTTTCTGCAGAAAAAGGGGAACAAGGCAACAGGCCTTCAGAGGAAAAAGTAAAAGCCCAGTGTTCCCTAAAACCAAACACTGATGCACCAATCAAGGACTCCAAATATAGAATGACTTTATGGAAAGAACATTTATTTTTGCTTTAAAACTTGTGATCCATAGAAATACAATAAAATCAACATGTACACAACTTTTTTTTTTAAAAAAAACCTTTGGTTCAAAGAAATATTTAACATCTAAATCTGAGGTACAAAAGGCACAAGACCGAGCACCCAAACAAACAGAATTGCTCACAGCACTGTTTGCACCACTACTACAGAGGAAGACTGTGGGGAGGAAGGCAGGGAAAATGTGGAAATAACTGCAACCAAAACACATGAATGTGTACAATGCCATTTACTTTCTTTCACAGGTGTTACAGATTTTATTGTTCTATTGTAGTAAAGTGCCAGGACTCTTGGAGAAAAAGATGGATCATTTCTTAGAAATGAACTGGAACAAACAACAGTAGAAAAGGAGACAGAAACAAAGGTCTGCAGCAGGCTGGAGTTCAGTCAACCTCTGTTCTCCCACAAGGTCTTAAGAATTCATTTCCTCTTTCATGAAACCATTTGTTTGAAACTGTGGAAACAGGGAACTGGAATTAGTTATCACCATGTACCCAGCATGGGTATCATCACAACCTAGATGGATACTTTAGGTAAAATCTTTCAGTTTGAGGATCCATGTTTATACTTCTCTACTCACCCAAGGGAAAACACATAGAAAGATGCAAAAGGCTGGGGAAGAAAGGATCCTCCCCAATGCACAATTCTGGAGCCAACACTAACAGAGCAGTGTATCTGGGGCTTGCATCACTGACATCAGCATGCTCTGGCACTCCAGGGGCACACCTGGAGGCTAGGGGATATAGGTATGGGAATAGATGATATGAAGCTTGATAAGCTTTCAGTAGGAAGCAGAAATTCCTAATGTCCAGACACTCCCATTTACCTTAAAAGAAGCTCTCATCCTTTTGCAGCTCAAACTATGGGCAGATCTTTGTAGGAATAGACCTGATTCTAGCCAAGTGACAATTCAAGTCATTCTGATGCTGATAAATTACACAAACCCAGCGACAGTCTTACACTTTATGCTGCCATTGACACAAAAACTCATTAGAAAAACTATAGCTGTACAATGCAGCTGCTTAATACTTCATGAGATTAATGGCAGGAAGTTTCATTATGGCCAAAGAACTCCAGTAATTGAAGGGGTATCTAGGTTATTAAATGCTTTTATAAGAGGTCAGTGTATCCCCAGCTTTACATACATGACCCTTCCCTTCAGGATTTGTTTCCAAAGAAGCATTACTTACCCCATTTACATCCTACTAGTACTGGACAAGCTGCATGTCTTGTTCTGTAATCCCCCTCACCACTTCTGAAGAGATTGTACCAAAACACTGCTGTTCCCTGAAAAGTGAGACCAGATCTGGATTAGTCTAAACCTAGTCAACATAACCAGGTTAAAGTAAGGGGAGGAGGATGCCCATGGATTCAGCTGCAGGCAGCTGGAAGCACTTTAACAGCTCACCATCAACAGCACATGAAAAGCTCTCAATTGTGTTCTAGTACAGCCATGTTCAGAGTACAGAGGAATTCCACTGAACACAAGTTTACTTTGTTAAAAACAGCTGTACAGAGAAACTGTTCACTTCACACATCACCAACAAAGGGAGATGCCCTTTGGTCTGCAAGATCACTACAGCTGCAATGAACTGCACTTGTCACAGCAGCTGACATACATGGACTGTGCTGAGGGAGAGAGAAGAATAAACCCAAACACATAAACAGCCTTTACCTTCTTGGGCCATATTGCTGCACCAAAATCTGGGAAAACTGTAGCTCCTCCAGCTTCCACATCACTCATCTGAGAAAACAAAGTCCACAAACTGTACATTTACAAGGTTTTTTATACAGTCCCACAAACTATGTCCCAAGACCTGATATTTCCACTTGCACCTCTACCAGCAGCACTGATGAGGAGGGTGCATTTCAACCAGCACAAACTGCAGAAGAAGCAGTATCTGCCATAGAAACATTTTATTTCAGCTGAGGGTTTTTGTCCCTATTATGTATATCTAGATATGTATTTCCTAGATTATGTATCCTCTATTTCAATTAGCCACTAGAAGTTGTGTACCTGCAATGTCAATAAGCTTATATTCTAGAACAAGAGAGAGGACTTCAGAGGAAACTGGTTTCAAGAATTTCATTCTACTTTATGATCCAATTAGGAAAACAAGTGTCTGTAAAACCACATATTTCCTTGTAAATTGAAACCATGCCTTTGGAACTCATTTTCATAACTTAGTTTATGCATCTTGGTCAACCACTTCAAAAACTACACAAACTATTAGAAAGCTTCTCTTTCTGCACTGTTTCTGTGCTGTTCACCAACAGTCTTAAGCAATTTCAAGTGCTTTAGGCACTCAAGCTCCTACAGCTATAGCTATGTGACTAAACAAAACCATGTATCTTCATGCTTTGCCCTCTACAATGGAATAAATTTAACCCTATTGTATTCATCAGTAACAATGGATTTATTCTAAATTCTAGACTTGACTCAAACCCCGAAGTTCCTAGAAATGTTCCCATCAAAAATAGAACAACTCAGTAAGCTTTGGGTCAGATTCTAATGAAAAGAAACCAATTAGTCAGATTCAACTCCCACCAAATTTAAAAACTACAATTAACACACTCCCCAAGTGCCCACAATCCCTTGTAACTTGGATTTCTGTTTAAAGCAGATGTCATTACCACTCTGGTGTCCTCCTGCTTGGTACAGTAAAAGGGCATCAGATGCCACAGGTGCACAGGTTGTTGCCTCTTCCAACTAGAAAGCGTGTGCATGCAGCCTTGCAAGTTAATGCACATGTCTTAGCCACACAACTACTCTTTTTAGTAAGGCTGGTGGTACCTGTATGATGTGTTATGAGTTCTATATTGGACAAACAAGGGCAAAGTGCCTTTGACCATGTACAACTGGCAGAGATGTGTATTGTTCCTTCTAAATCAAAGCTCATCCAAAATTCTGAGAAGCAAACAAAATTAAGATTGGCTCAATTTAAAACTAAAATATCTTTGCAGCAGAATATTTCACAGCTACCCATCTAGCTCGAATTCTTGTTTTGAAGATTATATCCCTCCCTGCCATATCAAGTTGAAAGTGTTTCTGGTTCTGTTTTGAGCTGCATTTCACTCTCAAAATATGATGTCAGCAAACAAATTTAAAATTCTGTGATAAAATATTTAAGCTGTATCATTAAAATCTTGAATACAGAAGATGAGATGATCCTGAAGATATAGTGGGTACAGGTTGATAGATAAAATAGTGTCAGAAGACCACTGTGAAAACAAGGCCATTATTCCCAGTGGCAGCTGTTTAGGATCCCAGTGTACATGGTCTGTGGGCTGTGCAATGCATGCACTAATGAATCTTTCAAATCTGCACTTGCAGCCTAGTTGCACCAAGTTTATCAGCTCTGCCTGTCTTTGTTTGTTGAAGCAGCAGCTGTGCTGAGCAACTGAGCAACTCTGGCTTTGCCACACATCTGAGGAACAGGATCACAGACCACAACATCACGTGCTGTCAAACAGTGGTGGAAAAATATGACTGTCTCACATTAAGTGGCTGCTAGTCAAGTTCTCCAAAAGCTTACCACATGAGTACCCCACGTATTTCCCTCTGAGAAATTAATCAAAGTCTCCTTTCCCCCACAGAATCCACTTAAGTAAAAGATTCCATAGCAGAGTGACCCAAAGGAGAAGATGGGTCCTATATTAAAAATTTGCTGCTCTGACGTTAAATACCACCAAAATTCTGTCAATTCAGATGGGACAGCACCTGATGCTTGCAGGAATAATGAAATCCCTACTGCCAGATGCCAGGAAATCTCTACAAATAACCAACTGCACAAGCTGTAAAAAGATGCTGCTAAAGTTACACTCAATGCATAAAGGATCATCATACTTACATAGTTTAAAAAAGTGGCCACACGATTTCCAGTCCCTAACCGCTTGAAAGCATCTGGCTCATCTTTCTATAAAATTAAATGAGAATAACTGCACATTTTGAGCTCCCAGACAGCAGACAGACAGAGGTACTTACATAGTTAAGAAACGTCGCTAGCCTATTTCCTTCCGATTTGAGTGTGCTGTCAAAGGGTCGCTGCAACAGACAACAACTTTAACCCGGGTTCCAAACAGGCTCTCACCAGAGCTACCTACGTGCAGCTCTGAAGAGATCCTCAAGCCCAATTTAAAGAGTTGGAATAGAAAGGGGACGAGTGATACAGGGCAATGTTAAAGCCATCACAAGTTGCAGCCAGGGTGCACAGCTGCATGCACAGGGCACTTGGATGCGACGAGGAGAAGCTGCACTGAACAATTCTGGAGGGAGAATAGAAGCAATGCTTTCAGGGCCTGTGGCACAGATGTTATCCAAGTAAGGTCAACAACAGGCCATTATTGTTCTGGGCACTGATCCAAAGTCAACAACTGACATGAATACAAAAAATTAATCTTCAGTGGGCTTTAGATAACAGTCTTGTAAATGTAACAACTCAAAGAAACACAGTCATGAGAAGAGCAAATGCATGTTTTGACAGCAGACAAAACTATAGAGTAGTTTCAGGTGGTTGCCTGTCTAGGACTAAAGACCACATCAAAAAGATCAAATTGTCTTTAGTGTGTAAAAAATATTGAGTTTCATTTGTTGAAGTTGAGATCACACTGGTGCCAGTGCAGAAACAGAAAGAACATCTAGGATACCAGTGTCTTTCCTTCAAAAAAATGAAATTAGATATTTATTTACATTGCTAATAGTCAGGAAGTCATTCCAGTCAGGAGATATCAAGCTGCATTTTTACACAAAAAAGCAGTAATGTCCAACATTTAAAGAAAACAATAAATCAGTATTGAAAAAGACAAACAGCAGGGAAATCCACAGTGACCATGTCTAAGGTGATGTAGTTCAATCTGCTTGAAGCATGTTTTAATAAACAAGTGGTCTTTCCTGAAATGTGTTCATAAAAACCCCAAGACTTGCATATGCAAATCCAATCCAAAAAATTCAACATAAGAACAGAGATAACAGAGAATTCCCTGGTTACTGCCACTGCTATGCCAGGTCCAACTATGAATTTCTGAACTTCAACAGCAAAAATCTAACTTGAACAACCAATAAAATCTCCAAGTTGTAATGGGCAACTCTGTTTGAGAACTTCAAGAGAAAAAAAAGCTTCAAGGCTGGGGAAGACACAGCAGCACCTCTATTTTAACACGAAGTCTGTGATCCACAAAGAGCCTGCAGGACCAGACTGGAACTGTGGCAACCTCTGCAAGGGCCTTGCCTCAGCTGACAAATGCAGCCAAGGTTATGTTCCAAGTGGAGCTCTGCTCCAGCTCCTAATCCAAAAGTAAAGTCCAGAGCGGCCAATTTGATGCCTGAGGTCCTTGAGTTCAAAGGCTTTGAACAGAATTTAAGAACACTTGCTCAACTCAGGAAACTAAGCAGACTTGAAGTTAAGAGGAAAATTCTCAGAATGGGCCAAAGCTAATGAATACAAGCTTCCATAGTGTTAAAACTCAGATTTTTTTTTAATTTTTTTAAACAGTTGGGAGGCTTCAATTCTGCACTCAATTATTGGGTTGTATACTCTGGCTGCAGCAATCCTTCCTACCAGGTAAAACCACTGGGACAATCTGAATTATGCCAGATCCCACTGAAATACCACAGAAATGAAGGAATCACATGGATTTTATATTTGAAGTTACCAGTCACCACAGTTCTTCAGTATGCTTAGCACATCCATGAACTTGTTGAGGGTCATTATTAAGAATCTGCTCTTTTTCTCCCACAGCAAACCAGAGCTGTTCTTTGCCAGGCAGAGCCCTCTAGTGCCTCATGAAGACCCAGCACCACCACCTGTACATGCTGGAGCACTGGCCTCAAAACCAAGCCAGGGAACGCTTTTCAGACCCCAGTGCTGCAGCCACTCTCAGGGGTCTGCCAGAAGGGCTGTACAACACGTTAGGATTTCCATAATGTTTGCTTTTCAGGAGGAAGGTGGAAGGAGACAGCTTCAGTCAGCTCCTGCAAAATGCTTTAAAGCACCCAGCAAAGCAGGGTTTGGACCACATCACTGAACTCAGTAGCCAAATGGAATAAGGCAAACTCATCACGCAGGGCTTGCAGACCTCAGTTTACAAATAATACAATGCAAAGAGCACATTCAAGTGCTGCATGACTCTTTTAGTGTCTCTGTACTGTGTAAGGAATCAAGATCCCAAAGGTAAGCAGGGAGATTTGTTCATAATTCTCTTGAACTTTCAGCATCAGAGAAGGCAGTGCAAAGACTTTTCAGAATTCATAATCCATCCATGCAACAGGGCTACATACTAAATGCTCTAACAGAAAACACCTTCAAAAGTTCTCTCAGACCAAACTGTTCCCTCCTCCCCACCCCACTAAGAAATAATTGCAAGTGAGATCTTACCCTAGAAAAATCAAAGTGTGGCTCGTACTGCCCTCCCATTCCATAGTTGGCAACCTACAGCATGGAAGAAGGAAGCACATAAATATGTACTCAACTGCAAGTGACTGCTGCAGAACAGCACTTGCTCTCAGAAACCCAAAGCATGCTCTGAGAAACAGCACTTTGTGGTAAGATGATTATCTACAGCACACTTGATTTATTTTTAGATTGCCGGAACTGAGGTACACAGATGAGAAACAACTTGAGTGCTTTTTCCCTTCTGTAGTTTGAGGGTTTGTACTTATCACTACAGCAGCCTGTTTAACATTCAGCAGCAATAGTTTCACCTCATTCCTAATTCCTTCCTCTGAAGGAAAGGCAGATTAAAGCATTCAATTCCCTGTGAGTTCAGCCTAGGGGACAGAACTGGACTCTGAGCCACTCAAGTATGATCTGCTACACACTAATGCCTCTTCAGTTTCACAGAAAATTAACTTAAAAGCACCTCTTCACCTACTTTATAATCACATAACATGCTTTAGTTACTCTGAGGCTCTACTTAATGTGTCTCCCAGATCACTACACAATTACCTGGTTTCTATGGATAGCCTGTAATCAAGAGTATTTCTATCAAGCTCTGAAACAAGAATTCAAGGAGCAGGGAGGAAGAAAAACAGTGAATAGACTAACATACAGCTATTCTGGCAGTGCTGTACTACTGGCACTCTTCTTCCCAACAGCCATCCAAAGATCAGAATTCATATGAGACTACAGCAAAAAATACTTGGGTCTTAGAAATACTGAACTAGGACAGAGAATAAGCTTTTGCAGACTTCAAAAATAAGTAGCAGGCATTTCCCTCAGAACAAACTGGAAAATATCAGATTCCTGCATGAATTTATCTTATACTGCTTTGCTATCTCCACCCTTCTCTGCCTGGCATACACAGGGAAAACATCTGTCTGCACCAGACCACCCTAACCAGCAGCTAATTCCACCAGGATGAAGCCAGTGCACCAACCTGCAAGAGCTCAGCTGTTTTCACTGTTAACCCTGTGATCTGCTGCATTCGCTGGTTCACCTTGGCCACAACAGGATCATCATCTTCCTCCAACCACGAGCTAAGGGAAGGACAGCAATGCATTATTTACAACACCAATCACCACATCACACTTCCCAAGGCAGAAGGATTCTTCTGCCCTTTGTCAGATGGCTACAAGAGCCATTTTCCATGCAGTTGTTGGGAAAGCTTTAGTTACATGCAAAGCAGTTCAAGTTTTCAGACACAGCAGGTAGCAAACAGCAGCTGTTAAGCACAAAAACCTTAAAGCTCAGCCCCTCCCTCTACTTACCTCTTGGATACCCTGTAGCTAGCCACTGTAAGGACACCGGTTTTGGGATCACGTACTGTGGCTCGTGCCAGCTGTGCCAAAAGAAATCCCAAGGGGGAAGAAACACATCAGCTACAGGATAGAAAATTTCTCACATCTTACCAAAAGCAACACCTCATTTGTCTGACTTCAGTAACTCACTGGATGAAAGAGCTTCAACCTAGACTATGATCTGATTTCATGCTAAAACCACACATGCAGAAACACAAGTACAATCCATCACCTGCATTTGATCCTGGAAAAAAGAGTCTGATGGACTGCACAAGACATGATATTGATTAAATCCATGAGTTGCTTGCTAAACAGGTTTTGAAGGCACTTTTTTAAAACAGCTGGAGTCAATATTAGCAAGAGGGAACAACAACAAAAGTTAACAACATATGAAGTTCAAGTTCCTGGCAAAGAGAAAATCATTGGATGTGGACTAAAAACCCAACCCCATTCTCAGATGTAAAGTAACAAGTAAAAACTTTTACAGAACAAGTTACAAAAACTACGGGACAAGCAAATGCCCAGTAGTAGAAAACTCCCAAAGACAACTCTCAACATTTCCATGCTCAAGTTTTCCAGCTAGTTCTGATGAAGGTAACTGCAAAAACACAGCACACCTAGACATTTTAAACAGTGAGTATCGTCACATTTAGACCATATGAACAGATCTGTAGGGGAAAAAATGGAACTTGGCAAAACTGATAGTTTGCTGCGGTGTCAGAGTGACAGATGACTGCTAACAACACACCAGCTCACTTTGGTTTCATTCTTGCAGCTGAGAACAAGAACTGGGACACTCTTTTCTTTGACTGTAAACTCAGACCACATTTAAATTTAACTCCTGCCAACCACACACACTCTAAATCATACCTCTTTTCTTTCACTTAATTATAGGTCATAGAAGGCCTTTTTATTTGCATCTTCTTCAGAGAATGCTGTCATTATTTCCTTCATTTTTCCTCAAGTAAGTCTCCAGCCAGCTTTTCACTCCATGTCAGCTGTCTTGTCCCTATACAAGAGTTCTTGGCACAGCTGTTGCTGTAATTCTGACTCACTGTTATTTTGTTCCAGATTTCGCCTGTATAAATTATAACAGAAGAGCCAGGCTGACTGAATGTTGTTCTTCACTGGTACAGTGAAGCATAGCTTTGGGGATATATATTTTGCTTCCCAGCCTTTTCATTCTGCTGCCATTTTCAAGCTTGTATATGCTTGCTTGATTTCTGCACCTAGCATATGATCTAAATAAATCAGGACTCCAATAAGCCTGACTGCTTTGATATTATTTCCCATCTGCTCTGATGGGCAGGTTTCTTCATTTAAGACACACAATCAACATCTCAGTTGGTATAAGCAACTGATAAATGTGAGGCTTCCTCTCTCAGGGTGGAGAAATCAGCCTTGTAAGAGGCATTTGCTTTCAAAAATCGTAACACCCTTCATTGGTCAGAAGCTTCACTGAGTGTTTCAGAGTCTGTTTAGTTTAGCAAGCTCTCCATTGTTATTTCCTTCTGAAATTCTGCACTGCTGAAACCCTGTAGCATGAGCTCAGATATTCATGCCTCCCCACTTCATGCCATATTCTCACCTGTTCAGACATTCCTGGCTTGCAGGTAACATTGAGAATTCTGGGAATATGTTTCTCACACTACAATGACAGACCTGCCTCAATGTCATCCACATCAACAGAGCTAAGAATTTTCTTGACCTCCCCCAGCCAATTCTGATGAATTGCCTGAAAAGCTGGATCTATTTTTTGGAAGTGGAATAATAGTGATTGCATTTTGCAAAACAAGCATAAAAAGCAACTCAAGTGCAGCTACTCCCAATCACATACAGATGTTCTTTCTCTACAGAAAGTATTGGCAAGTGTAAACTGCAGATAATGTTTAAGTGCTTGGACTCAAAAGTAAAATCTTCTTGCAAATGCATTTTAGAATAAACAAAGTGGTCACCTTTCTGAGCCTAAAATAAAATAACACTTCACAGTTGTGTCTGAAAGCTTCCATGATTCCTAATAAAATTTCCAGGCTAAAATTAAGCTGTATTTATTAAAGACCATCTCACCACAGCACTTGCATTTTCTACTCTTTCAGTAATACTGCAGAATTTAAAGTTATTCCTGCAGCTGAGCTATACATAGGTTTAGAAAAGACAACTCAGAAGAAAATGGTTGCTTCTTTAAAATTGACAATTTTCATCTGAATCTTAAGGCTATAATATTTACCTACTCTTCTAGGGACTGACTACAGTTCTACACTACACATTACATGAAAAATTCCTCTAACATTAGTAATATATGCAAAATTCAGAGACAAGCATTAAGACTTTCCATAAAACTGTGAATAAAAAAGAAAAAAAACAGCTGTCTTTAGACAGTGCTTTATTTGATAAAATAGATTAAGTGATATGCTCGATGTGAATACTTCCATTTTATCTGAAGCTCTTGAAGTTTTCTACTATGATGTAATAGGAAAAATTCTCCATTTAAGGAGGTGAGATTCCTCACTGAGACAGGAGTGTTCAGCCAAGACTTCCCTAGCTGGCTGGTAGTCACAGAAGACCAGCTTCACAAACATCCCAAATTATTAAAGATCTTGGGAAACATCAGTTTCTCAATCTGTTTCTAACTATTCAGGCTTCCATTTAGAAATACTTACAGAAGGGTAAGTCTTCACTGGAATTTTAGTACCATGTTTCATAGTGGTAGCCTGAAAAGTGCTAAAATGAACCACTCCTCTATAAGCAAAGATTTGTCAGTTTTACATTCTGCTCAGACCTGATAGAAAAACTAAGGGGGTGTATACTGCTATCACAGTGCTGTACTATTTTTTGCCAGAAAGGTGACAGGCAGAAAATTCCACCTCCAGAAAAAACAGATAATTACTATCTTTGCATGAGGTAGCTGCTTTTTTTATTGTGTGCAGAGTCACCAGAACTCATCATGAGTAACAAGAAACATCTATGGTTTAGAACAGAAGCAGTGGATTCAAGGATACACAAACAAACCAAAAAATAAAAACAAAAAAACCCAAAACAACCCCAAATCTCTAGGTATTATTCTAGCACAACTTAGATGTTTGTCTTTCCACTTCTCTTGAGATTTGGGGTTTTTAAATTTCATTTAATTTTGGCTCCAGTTCAAAAGGCAGACTCAAGACATATTGCACACCTACTCCTATGATTTTAAGTCAGCCATTTATCTTTTCAAGTCTAGTCTCTAATTTCTTAAAGCTTTCTAAGCCATTTACTGAGAACTTTGCATAATTAAGTGCAACAATGCATAAATACCTTTGGGAACCTGGGCTTTACAGTCCTACATCAGCAGGCAGTTTCAAAATCATTCCATTGAGGCTCACAGCTGCAGTGTATCATCTGTAGTATGAAACCAGTCTTTCAAATCCTTTGCTTAGTCCTTGCTAATAGAGACTGAAGCATGGAATTAGCAGTCACTAGTGAGATGGAAAAAGGGAAACTTACCCTTGGCTTAGCCAGTTGTTTAATTTTCTCAATTTCTTCATCAGACATGACATCATAGTATCGCACAATATGAGGACTGTCCCATTCATCTTCTTCCTTAAAGGGAGCTATGAGCAGATGAGGGTTCCTGTTTCCATCATGGTACCTACAAAACAGCCTTTTTTGTCTTCGAGGTGTCTGAAACAAAATGCCAAACAAAGCATTGTTTGCTCAAACACTTTTCTTGAATTTCAAACAGATAAGACAAGAAGATGAGCTTCATTCCACACACATTGTGAAAGCCATCAGGTGACCAGAAGATACAAGAGGTAAACAAGAGTGATTCTCCAATTCACTGCAATTAAAAACAAGATGTTCTGCTCCAAATATCACTGAGCAGCATCTGAAACACTAACCTTTAAGGGAATTAAACCATAATAGGTTACACTTTAATAACTACAGAAGCAGCGAGCTGTAAAAAAAAAAGTCTGGTTTTCATAATTAAGACTATACCCATGAAATAAATTGGTTTTTTTCCCTGGACTAAGAAGTGAAGCCATGTTTGTTGAGAGGTATTGGAAATCACTTTGTCAAAGTAGTCACTCCAGAAGAACATGTCTAAGATGCAAAAGGGAAGAAAAAATGCAATTCCCTGTGTGTGGTAAAGTATAATCAGCTCTCAGGGAAAAAAGCCTCCTTTTGTATCTGTACAGCTGGCTTTGAAAAAACTGAGTAGACAGACTGAGAAGAATCAATTTTCAACAACCCTTAAGAGGTACAGCTAAGAGTTGTTTGTGTGTAACAGCTAAAGATTGAGAAGCCAAGATATAAGATACAAATCTCAGCCTAGACAGAACCAAACTTGAACTTCACAGAAGGAAAAACATAACATGTCCCACCAAGCTTGACCACCCTTATGCAAAGGCTGCATAGTCAGGAAATTCTTGTCCCTTACCATTTTCACCCCTTCACCTCGGCAAAGGGCCTCGTAGATATCGCGCTCTGGCAGGTAGTCAAGAGGCCTCTCATAGGCCCCACTCTGCACAGCTTCTGTGGTTGTCACAGTCCTGTTTATTGAATTTTCCTTCTTCTCCTCTCTTTCCTTCTCCAGCAGCTTCTCGAAGTATCGCAGATTACTGCCTGCTCTCTCATGAGTGCTATCTATATTGAGGAAAAAACAGATTTTTGCAAACTCAGGAACTGTTAGTACAAAAGTCCATGTATGAAGACAGCACCAATTCTTCCCTTCCTAAAGCATTATCAGGCAAACAAAGGCACTGGCTTCGGTCTGCACTGAAAATCCACACTGGGAAGCTTCTGTCTTTGCAAACAAGAGCTGCACTAAGGATATAAAAGAACCCTTTCTAGAAAAGCCCATCATAAAACTTGTATTCCAAGAAAAAGAATACAAGTTTTTGTTCTTCAACTTTTCTGACCAGTTCTACCCAAGATGAGCAGATCACCAGAGACCAAGGCAGCCCACTTGCTGTACCCCTCCTCTCACCATGCTCCCCACCCACACGGCACAAGCACACTTTAACCAAGTTCTGTGGTGGAGTCCAGCCACAGTCTTCAGTCCCAAAGACTCCTCCCAGGCTGGGAAGCTCTGAGCCCACCTACAGCACATCTGTAGCTCTAACAGAGTTATATGGGAGGGAGCCTGGATCACTACCATCTTTGGACATACTGGTGATTTATTAATGATGTTGGTAAGAACCAATAATCATCATCAACAGACCTTTACCCCAGGTAACTGAGAAGGAACAATTCCTTGTACATTTGTGTTTCTGGACGCGAATACCTACAACAGAGTCTTTCCCTTCTGGCCTTCCCAACTTTACTGTGTTTATCTCATGGAACCAACCCAAAAGCTCACTCCAGTCACCACTCATTAGAGCACAGGGTAATAGTGGCCAGAGAGGGAAGGTGAGCCCAGAGCAGAGGAAGCTGCTGCTTTCAGAAGGGATTGCAACAGTGTTCCACTGTTTGCTGCTGATAAGGATTTGCATTCTGCTATCAGTGCTAAACCCCTAGAGCTAGATTCAATGCATATTCATATTCTTGTAAATTTTAATTTCAGAATTCTAGTTCTGCAGAAATTAGACTAATAAATATTTTTCAATAGGAAGGTTTCACCCACTCTCAGGATGCTGCTAATATCTAAATTAACAACCACAGCTCATTAAAAACCCCATCAAATACCTAACACAGGTAATGTTAACTCTAAATGAAGAGGACAGACCTTTCCACTGCAGGAAGTAAGCTTCCTATCCAGCTTTGCCTATTTGCTTACTCAAGGGAAAACTAAAAACAGTTCAGAAATAAAAGGAGATTCTAAGAAACTCAGTTTGTCCTGAAATTCAGAAATAAATACTGTAAGATCTCAGGCAAAGTATTCCAGCATCCATGAGTACCTGCACTGAGGAAAAAAGAGGTATTTGTAGAGTCGGTAGGACTTGACAGAAGGTGCAGCACTGCCTACGTCTGTGGTAGCCTTGATCTGCACTTGAGACAAGCAAGGCTTTAACCACTGCCAAACCCAGTATCTCAGTACACCCCAGCACAACACACAGGCAGTGAGTGCAGTCAGACACACCGGGCTTGGGTAACTACAGCATGGACCATAAGACAGCTTCTTAAAGATACTTCATGTATAAATAGACTTGTTTCCAGGACCCACATTTATTTTAAGTCATCTGTCAGGATATCTTTTCCAGTCAGCTCACCAAAGTGGATGGCCACGACTGCTCTCAGCTCTGCTGCTGGCAGCACTTCCCAGCTAAGGTAACGTGGTCTTTGCTCTTACCGAGGGATATCAGCCGCCTGGTGAGCTCCATGGCTCTGTGCAAATCCCCAAACTGGAAAACAGCATAGCTGAGATAATCTAGGATCTCTACTTTGCTGACTGTTGTATCCTCTCCCTCATCGTGCTGTTTTAGGGCCTGCTCCATCCAGAGCACAGTGTGGTAATAGTCCCCATCGTTGTAGGCTGTCTTCCCCATGCCAAAGCAGTCACCAACTGTCAGGAAGGATCTGTATTTTGTTCCTAAAAACAAAAAGACAGCTTTCAGCAATCCACAAGCACCTTTGCCTTAAACACGAGGCACATTGAGAAGTATCTGTAATATAATATAATCCAAAAATGTTTCTAAGAAACAATGCTTTGACAGTATTTTAAGTTCAGTACTAAAGTGGTCACTATCAGAATTAAAGAGTAAACTACCTTAATTTTATTCTAATTCACTCCTTTGGAAACATAGAGAAGTTAACAGAAGTTACAGTGGTAAATTATTGTGTTTTCTGCTGTAGACAAAGGAAGAGCAGACTAACATCATAACAGATTTCACCTAACCTACAGACTAGCACTGTTAGATGACCAGAGAAGCCTGACTACATGCTGACTACGTGCACAGCCAGCTTGTTTGTCTTCCCTGTAATTCTGTATTTGTGCATAAGGAAGCTGATGTTGATTTAAACAAACTGGGTGTCCAGTTGAGTGTGACTGCACTGACTTCCAGTTGCTCCAGCTCAGAAGACGCACATGTAAGACTTAAAATTCAGTTAATTATTAATGGCTATTAATACTTATGACTAAAAACATTGTGTCAGCTCATCTACCCACACACCAACAAAGCCTATTCAGTTTGTAAACACCACGCTGGTAGCTGATAAGCTGTTTCAGTAGGTGTCTCATAAGCAGCAGCAACAAACATCAGGACTCAGCTAATAATCAAACATCCAGTATCTTCAAAATATTCTGAAACATCTGTGGCAAAACCAGTTAATCCTCATTTTATAAAGGACTTCTGAAGAGAGTTTGAGGATGTCACCACTTCCTTCCTGTTAAAGGCAAGGAGACCTTGGTGCACTTACCTGGCAAGTGCCCTCGAGAGAGGGTTTCAGGATCCAGTTTGTAGGTGTCCTGCAGGCGCATCAGAGCCTTCGCTGCTCCGGTCTCATCTTCCTCAGTTGGAAAAAACTGACGCTGGATTGTGAGATTTGCAATGAAGCCTTTGCAGGAAAAGGGAAAGATGTTACTTCCAGAGCTTGAATAAGTATCAGTACAAGATTGACACAGAAGAGGAAACTGTTCTGGCTTGAGAATTGAGTCTCAAATACCCCAGATTTAAAGCCTCTTATTAGGCTCCAAAGTTATAAACACATTGTTTTCTGTCCCTTTTCAAGAAATATGGCTCATGAGTAAAAAATAATACATATCTAAACTCAGTTTTCTTGTGCCACAAAATTACTGATGCACAATGTGAATCTTATGATCTTCATTGTCCTGTACTGCCTCTTTTTGACATGAAAACTTAAGTTTTCATCAAATCTCCTGCAATACCCATAGAGACAACTGATTTCAGGCTGGTCAATGATCTCCAACTTGGTATTCCAACCTCTAAAGCCACAAGAGCTTTCCAAATCTCAGTTCCAGGGACAGAGATCCTGATCCAGGATCCCCTCACTAGCGTAGGGCCTTTCTCAGTGATAGAGTTAAACCTGACAAATAAACCAGGTGATACTCAGAAATAAAATTAAATGCACTAGGTAAACATATCAGGGTTACACAGCAGGTTGGTTGGGCACAAAAGGAAGCCATCAAATGAAGGAAAATAGCCCAACCATTTCCAAACCTACAGCAAGCCAAAGTGGAAAAAGAAGCCTTTAAAAAAAGAATTAGTGACAGACATACTCTGTAGAATTGAGTATTTTATTTCCATTTCGGATAACTATTCCAAAAGGCAATAAAAGCCTTGTCTGGAAAAAACTTTCAAGTACCTAAACTTTAGCATACGCAGAGTAGCAAGGGAAACCATGTGGTGTTCTGCCTGAAAAACACAACTAACTCTTCCACACTTACCAAGAGTCCAGTAAAAATAAACCTCCACTTAAAAGAGGTATGCAAGCAAATTAAGGCAGACACTTGAAAAAATGATGCAAACCCAAGGATTAGTACTGGAAGCATTTGATTTAGAAGGATAGGTTTAGAGATAGCAACCATATATTATCCTGGTTTTGACAGACTACAGCATCTGCCAATTCCAATGCTGGGGCTGATACTTGTATCCCCACCAGTTCAATATGGGACTCATTTTGATTCTCAATCAACACGGTCAAAAACCAGTGATCATCAAGAGAAACAACAGACTGGGAAAGCAAATGAAGCAGTTCATATACATGAGAACAATAACACTCAACAGTTACCAGCACAGCTTTAAGCACGTCCCATTCTCCCTTTTCCCCCAAATAAATCAGTTTGAGTCTTGACTAAGACATGTTTCAGTTGCGAGTTTTACTCACTTGGGTAATCAGTACACACAAGTCAAGTCCTTAGCTGCTTTTTAAACAAACTTGGCAATAATATTTAAACCACAGCCCAGCTTGTGGTTTTCCAGAACACAAGGCTGCCTCCTGACAGCAGTCCCCTGTAACTCCTTACCATTTGTTGTATCCTGAAGAACCAGGTTTTCCAATTCCAGCCAGTCAGTATTCAAACGCTTCACAAGCTTGTATGCATTTACAGGGTGTGCCAGATACCCTTCTGGGTCAGAGGCTGATTTGCTGGTCAGTATATCCATTTTTTCAGCCCAGCTGGAATGAGAAGTGTGCACATGATTTAAGAAGGAAGCTGTGCATTCATAAATTGTTCTCAGGCATTTAGGAATGCACATCTTCCTTCCTAAATCATTCAAATTACACATCTAGATCAAATTATTGCTGCTTTTACTGTCAAAACTGGCTTTCAACCTTTCAAGTTCACAAGAATAAAGTGGAGTCTTTTAAATTACAATAGTATCTTTCAAAGGGAAAATATTTCCCTGCTTAGTATTTTAAACCTAACTTCAGCAGGCATACATCTCAGTCATAATGAGCCTCAAAAACACCAGTTTATTCACAGACTGAATAGATATTCTCTTACCCAACACTAGAAGAGGATACTGCTTTGCCTCCAAAGGGCAGCTTTTCAATAAAAGAACATTTTGTGCATATGTGACCAGAATTCCTACAATTCCACTACTCCATAGCTCTATCCTCATCCTACACTCCCAAAGGAAGGGCAGATTGACACACACAGCCATGAGCTCAGAAGTCCTTTGGAAAGCACAACTCCTTCTAGAGGCACTTGGCTCTTCTGCACCAGGAGCTCATGCAGCCTATCCTCCTGTCACACCCCAGTATATATTGCTATTGCCTGGAGGAGAATTAACAGTCTTCCTATGTGACACAAAGTGTCAGCTGTCAGCAAGAGCCTTTCCAGTGATCCAAGCAATCAGGACAACACCAGAGATGTGCTGCAGCCAGGCTGGCACCTGAAGAGAGCAGGGCAGGAGAACTGTCCCCAACACAGAAAGGAACCCAGAGATTTGGTGAATGCCACTGGCACACTTGGCTCTTATAAGCAGGGCTGATGGCATGAAACAACAGGCAGCACAGAGCACTGGCACACAGAGGCATTCAGCTCTCATGACAAGACTCCTGACATGACTCTGATGTGTCTGTCCTCTCTACAGGAGTCCTGTGATGGTACAAGGACAGGGCAAAGTGGGGAGAGCCCACCAGAGCACCATTTCTAAAGCAGCAAATCCTAAGTGATATCTGAAGCAGGGACACTTGTAGGTTAATGGGAATAAATTAAACCAAGTTAGTACCTACCCTCTTCCTGTGATTATCTACTGAGAAAATACCAACAAGATTAAGCATCAGAGAGTGGTGACAAGTGTGATTGAACACAAATGAGCCATTTTGTCACCGTTCATTACACAAATGTCCCCTACCTTTTAATCTGAGAGAGCTTTTTCTCTTCTGCTCGGATATATTCCTGTAGAGACTGTACCAAGTCCTTCTCCGCATAGATCAGGTCTGTCATTTGACCTAAAAAGAGGAGGAGCAAATATTCATCAGTACTAAAACAGCAACAATTCCCAAGTGCACAGGAAAAAAAAAAAACAAACCTTAAATGCTCCAGGGCTATTAAAACCAACACAAACAACAGACAAATTAAGAGTGTGTACTTCAATGCCTGTAAACCACAAAGCTATTAGACACACAGGTCTGGCATTCAAATGCTTCAAGGGGCTTTAAAGTCCCATTTTCAACAGTTCAGGTAGCTTTGCTCTGACCCTTCCTCTGCCTCTGAATTACTTTTAGCATTACAAGTGCAAGCAAGGCAATTTAAAGAAAGGTTTGACACTCATACAGCTATGGAGACAGAGTAACAAAAGATCCAAATGGTTGCCAAAGCATCTGTTCTACATATGGACACAGATTAGGTCACACTAACAAATTATTAGTGTAATCACCACCATAATTTAAAAGTTACAGCTTTACAATATGGGTTACCATGGAAACAGCCTAACATTACACAGAGAGGAATTTCAGACTAATGTTCATAGACTCTCACACACACTCTCCTGATTAGCATTAGTGGAAATTGCTAACATATTAGTCCTAATTGCTATGACAAACTTGGCTTTTCAAAGCCCAAACTGAAAGAACATTATTAGATTCATAAATGCAACCACAGCTCCAGCATTCCAAAGTAATTATGAAAGAGGCATGATTAAGCAGACAGAAGGCAGCAGGATGTGCTATTTTCAGTTAGCAAAGGTTCAGAAATAGTTAAAAGAGAAGGTGATCCTTTGTGGAAGCTTTGTATAAAATGCTAGTTGACTCAGGAAAATCAGGAGCAAATAAAACACATGTAGTTAAATGTTGTTCAGTCAGCCACAGGGCACGTGAGGAGCTTGGCAGGAGGACTCTGGCTGAGCAGTTCCACACAGTGGTGCAGAACAACCCACCAGGAGCTCTGAGCTTTGCCATTCAGACAGCTCCACCGACTCAAAGGACATTCTGGAGAACAGCCAGTGGCAGTTAATCAGCCTCTAATGCCCTCATGGAGGGGAAGTCCCCAAACTGCTCGACAGGAAAATGTTAGACCAATTAACAGCAGAAAACTCAGTTTGTGCTTATTTGAAGCTCTACCACAATCGTACACAGTTGGATCCTATTAGAACACAGGAACTAAATTGTCATAAAAATCAAATTATTTTACAGATTTATTACAATGCAAATTCCTTAGGATTTACTCAGGCCTAGCAAAACACACAATGTAAGGGAGTTACTGATTTTTTCTTCTGACACCTAACTTCAACTTTTTGGTAAGACAGGAGATTTTGAGTGCTGTGGGAAAAAAAAAAAACTTCACATATTTACCACTTAAGCTATTTTCATAACTCAAATTCAGGACTAAGCTTTCTAGCATAAGGTGGTGTGCTCTGTTCAAGATGACAACAGATGCACAAATCTGAACAGAACACAGAGCCCATCTTATCTTACTGACAGAGGCTCCAGAGAAACTTGAATCATGTTGCTCAGTGTTCCAAGTCAACCAACTGCAAACAAATTGCACTGATGCTGCAGAAGAGCAGCTTTTCCTAATAGAGACAGTGTTGGCCAGGGCCACATGAAGAAAGCCATATGCTTCAGATGATAACTTGAACAGTTGTAGCAATCACAATAACCACATCACAACATCATGCACTGGTTCTTTCCACACCTATGGAGGTAAAGAACTCTGCTTCTGTGTGCCAGATCAGGAAAGCACATGGGAAGAACATCAACTGCAGCCAAGGTTTCATCTTCCAGATACCTGTAAAAAAATTAAAAGGAAAAGAAGGAATAAAAATAATTAAATTATTTGTGAGAAACAAGCCAAAGCATTAATCTTTATCTCCAGTCATTTTAACCTCATGAAAATTATTTAGATTCTCTGAATTTTAATTAGTAAAGCTTGAAAAAACTTTTCTTCAACCAGAGGAGCTGTTACTTAACAGTATCAAACGCTATCTTGCATTCTCTTTGGGATTTAAATGGAAGACACTGGAAAGCCCACATGAGAAAAGGGAAACTATACATACATATTGTCCACTGAGACAGTGAGAATAAGCTTTTTTGCAAGAGCAGTTCAGCACCTTCCATGTCAGACATAACTAGAGCTGGAAAGTATGAGACCTACAAATTATATTCCAATAATAATAATAAAAGTCTAAACTAAATGGGTTTATAGCATTCTATAAAATTCAGTTATTTAAAGCTGTCTAGAAACACAAATAATGAGAAAGCCAAATAGAGAAATAGAACATTTTGTAGTTTAGAAGTGTCAGCACTGGTTGGAAAAGTTAGAAGTGAAATTTCCAGCTCTGCCTATTCAAGATGCATTATCTCAGCATACTGGCCTCTGGGCACAGCCCTTAGAACTTCTGTATTTCAAAGGCTGTGCCAGTTTAGAAACCCAGCCCCAAGATGGATGTTGAAATCAGATTGTTCCACTTCCAAAAGCACAGCCTGAGGGGTATGGGAGGAAAGCCAGTCTGAGCAGATGGGGTCAAGTGAAGCAAGGGATGCAAGGGGCATACAGAAGAGCCTCCTGGGAGACCTGATCAGCAGAACACCTTCTCAGCTTCTCCAGGGGGTTTGTGAGGAGCACTGCACTGGGATCAGCCCACAGCTCACTGCTGCCTGTCCACCAAGCAGGAACAGTCACCAGTGCCAGCCTCATGCAGGAGCACGGCTGCTCAGACATGGAGCTCTTGGCACACCCTGGCACAGGTCAGAAGGGAGGTGACAACTCTCACCTCAGCTCAGGAAGCAGTTATTACTTTTTCCTACTCAATGTAACTGGGCAAACTGGTGGCTCAAAATTACCACGAGACCCAGTAACTTCAAATATAGTAAAAATGCAACTATTGGGGGCAAAATGGAATTAACCTGAGAAAGGGGAATGGAAGGAAAAAAGGAAAGAAAAACAGATGGAGTGTCCTGAAATTTCAAGCAATGCAGCAAATAGGAAAGGAATAAAGATAACTCTATGATAACTCTAACGTGTTCCCTTGGGCTCCACATATCTGCCTCCAAAAGATTAAATATCCACAAAAGGTGAAAAATGGGTATTTCTTTCTTTCAAGACCACAGCACAACTGAAAACTCTCACCCTCAGCTGGGCTCACCAGTGCCACAGAAACAAAGACCAAATTCACCCTCAGTGACACCACCACCACTAAAAATATTAGTAATAGCTCTGTCCTCTGCTGTGTGTTATCACATGGCACGATGATTATTTTCAGACCAAATTCACCCTCAGTGACACCACCACCACTAAAAATATTAGTAACAGCTCTGTCCTCTGTGTCCTCTGTTGTGTGTTATCACATGGCATGATGATTATTTTTAAATTATTCTTTTGATTGCTTTACAAGACTACACAAGAAATCAGAATAATTTACCACAACAGTTCGGAAGCATGAGTAAGCAGGAAAATGTCTCACAGTATCATAAAAAGTCTCCTCCTTTCCCTCTTCTGTTCTCACCCTCCTGTAAACCACATATTCCCAAACTGCTTGTTTAAGTTAGTCAAGAACTAGTACATGGGTAATCTGAGAAATGAATAAAGCTGAGTGAATAGTGCCATGCAGAGGTCTGCCAACATTACAAGCCACAATAAGTGATGTAGCAGAAAGCACAGCAAGTCAAGTGCACTTGGGAAGTACATTAATTTGGATATATTAAGCCTCATCTGTCCATCTGAATAGTCTGCCATCATTTAATGGAGTGGTTTTTTGGATGCACAACATAAAGCCTGGGAGAACAATTACAAGTGAATATTCCAGTTAAAACAACTCTACACTCTCCTGCACCTCCTCACCATGTTCCCTCATGGCTGAGGAAATCTGCCAAGAAGTACTACAGCTACCAGCTTGTCTTTATAGCAGATCTGCAACAGCTCTGCCATCCTACTCACTTTTACTTGAGTCAATAAACACAGACCTCAGTAAAAGGAGAAAGCAGCTCTTGCTCAAACAAGCAGGACACCTGGCTGCAGGGTTGGCAGATTGTTTGTTCATTCTTTTCACAGCTGTTACTGGGAAAACCAGCACAACTAATGAGTTACAGGAGGCTGAATAACCACAGCCTTGGCTGGCAGGAGCGTGTGTGCACAGCAACACGTACGTGTGCCCACCCCACTCCAGCTGAAAGCAGGGCAAGGGGGCAGAAGGGCCATGAGCAGCTCATGCCTCAATAATGAACACAAATGTTTGTAAAGCAGTGTGTTTTAATCTAACAAATGCCAAACAACAAGCCTCTGCAGAACAAATACTGCCTATGTTTCTGGCTTTTCTTCTGTGGGTTTTCTTACTTCTTTACAGTATTCGACCTCAGTGAATCATTACTCCTGTGGAAAGAGTGCTGTCAGGCTCAGAGAACACTGGCAGAAGGAAAAAAGTTCTAGACAAAATACACAAGGATGCAATTTTTCTCCACAGGTTAGACAAATTCTTTATTAAATAAGCTTTCTGAAAACCTCATAATCAACAAGATATAAAAATAGAAACCTGACCTATTGAAGGGAACTTGCTTGCACATCTACCATGGTTCTCAGTTTCTCATTTGCTCTGAATTTCATATCCAGTCACAGGGAACACAGGCCAGCTCCTAGTCAAAAGGGAGGACTTTTTTCAGGTCAGAAGAGGAAAATACCTATTACATCCAGTGCCTTTAGGACTCAGCTTCTGATCAAAATGATATGCTATGGTCTCCTTTATTCACCACAGTAGAAGAGAACTCCACTTGCCTGACAGCCTAACTAAAAACAGGGACAAAAAAAAAAGCAAGTCCTTCATCCAGCTCCAAATTTGCACAGACTTCTCATGCAGGAAAATGAAATTAAGTGGAACCAACATAAGACCAGTCTGTACAACATAAAGAATACAAGTCATACCCTTTATTGTGGTAAATTAGGCCAGAGTGTTACTTGTACTCATATGTGAACCCTTTTTGATCACATGAACTCCAGAAAAAAAACCCAAAAAAAGTGTCCTTCCACTCCTCAATTAAAGGTGACAGCACTCCCTCTGCTATGGGGCTTCTTTAGGGGAGGTGGGGAACTGGGGTGCAATCTAACTGCTCCAAACTGCTACAAGCAAAGTCACCTCTTTTTCCAAAGACTAGGAGGGGAAAATTTCTTCAGAGCACACAGCAATGGTTTCTTCTAAGTCATTAAGGCAGAGTCATTAAGGTTCTCTGGTTTAGTTCCATGTTTACAGACCCAGAATTTGCTGCAGAAAAATAAAGCTTGGGAGACAAAGTATCATAACCAGATACTGTCAACATCTGATTAAATACCATTTTTGGGAGCTACTGGGATACAACATACAAGCTGATGACACAAGTAAAGGTTACAGCCTGCCTCCTCTTCTGTGCTTGTCTGTGCTGTTAAAGACACCTGGGAATCACTCTGAAAGCAGCTGCTTCCATGTGTATCTACACTTAAGTATCATGGTGAAATCCAACATGCAAATCCCTAATTCAAGATCATTTCAGGCCACTGATGAGCTCTTGGTGCACACCAAGTGGAGGCTCTGAAGTTTGGTCCATCCTCAAACAGCAATCTGAGTCTAGACTATTGGATGAGACAGGTCTGCTAGGGGCTCCTCCACATGCCACTGCTTCCCAGCCTACCCTCTTGCTTGCAGACACACCAAGGAGTACTGAACTGGTGCTGCAGATGGCTCCATCCCTTTCCCCTCCACAAACAATGGAGCTTCACAAGCTTCACAAGAAGGCATTAAGCTGCTATCAGTACTGATGGCTGTAAATAAGGTTAATGATAACTAAGTGGAAAATTATATAAACAAAAAACCTGCAAGGCTTCTGACTTATTAAGAGCCAAAAGATAGGCTTAATTATAAACAGATTTTCAAGATGATGCCAAGGAGGAGCCTCTCTCAATACCAACCAAGAAAGGCAGACATAAAACCATCCACTTGTAACACTATTTCAAGTCTTGCAGATTCACCCAGTGCATGATAGCAGCTATAAAACATTTTAAAAGTTATTAAATACTAAGGAAAGAAAATCTACACCATTGGCTGAAGACTTTGAAACAAGTAATTCAGAGCTGAAATTCATTATCCACGTGAACTCAGATGCACCAGTGCTCAACCCAGCCCCCTCCTCCAGAGCACATTGGTTTTATTGCTCAAAGCAGCTTATGCCAACATCACCGCCCTTCTTTACAAAGCATTTTAATATGCATCTAAAACTAATTGTAATTACCTAGCAAAAACAGCAACGTGATTGCCTTGTGCTTCTCAAGGCAAGCCAAAAGAAAATGAGGAAAAGCTGTTTATTTGCAAGCATTAACAAGGACACAGAACAATCATGCAAATCTGCTGGCATTTCTTTTAACATAAAATAAATTATAACCACCTTAGAAGCCATAATCATCTTGATTAGTTCCCAGTAATTTTTTAAAGCCATAACAAAACGTTTCTTCCACACTCCAGTAGAGAACAAAACTGATGCAAGTCATGCAAGTCTAAGGCACAGCAAATCCACTTGAATCTTACTCTGCAAGCTCCACCTTTATAAAGCAGTCTGGAGTCAAATCCCACAGTGTTGGTGAAGACAAAGAGACTCTGGGCTTTTTCCACTAAAGCTTATTTTTTTTAGCATTAATATCTATACTGCATTTTACTGTGCAAAGGCCATAACTTTAACATAACTTGAAATAACTTATCATTTGCTCATATAAAGCATTAAAAGTATCTTCCTGTTCAGAAATAAGAGTTCTTTTCATATTAGAAGGTCTGCTGTCAGTGAACTGTTTCTTTCAAGTCAATTTAATTAAAATCAGGCATTATCTCAGAGGCTGATTCTATTCTAACATCACCCTAGAACATGCCCCCTTCCACACTCTGTGTTCTCATGTCTCTGACATATAGAAAACCATACACAAAAATCAGAACTAGTCATAGGAAAAATATCTATGTTTACAGCTTGTTTCTTTGGAAGGTGGCCAATGCACACAGCATGGAAATTATAAACAGATTGGATTCCTGACTTAAACCTCCAGTGAAAAATTTCTTATGCTATCTGGTAAATCCTGCTCCCTCTGCTGTTACTCTCTTTGAAGTGTGTAATTCCTGCACTGCTTCCCAAAGTATGATTAGTCACATTAAAAAATTGAATCCCAAGAAACTATGGCATTAACAAGAGGCCACATTCTTGTCTGTTAGTGTCACAGCAGTGCCAAGTTACCAATGCAGAATAATGTTCTGCTTGTGAAATATGAATGGCAGTAATTGATTGCTATATATATTCACAACATACCTGTGGGATTATTTCAAAGTCCTTAACGCCAGAAAGATGAAATATTACCCTGGTAAAGATGGCCACAGCAGCCTTCCAGGTCCACTCCACCCTCACAGAGCACCTATAAAACTGAAGAGCAAGAGTTTTTTTCACAAAAATGTCTTCTGGGGAACACTACTTTACTACTGAGGAAGAGGGATGATTATTGGCTGGAAACACCAAACATCACAAAGTCAGACAGTCCCAAAAATAGCCTTTATTTACATGTCCTCTCTCCTGCTTGCTTCCAGGTTACAAGGACATTCTTTGCTTCCTGAAATAAAAATTACTCCTGTCTAGTCAAAGCTAGTCAAAGGCATGTTTTGCCATCTTATGACGTGCCAAGCTGCTGTGCCCCAGCTGAGCTGTGCAGTGCCTTCAGTTTTCCCCAGCTGCCCTCCCCTGCCTCTGCACAGCCTTTTCCAGCGAGGCTTCAGACGCCGCATCCCACAGGTCACACACAGCTGCCTGTGCTCTCCTGGCTTGTCCCCAGCTCAGCTGCACAACTATGCAGGGACAGGCTTTTTTTGTTGGTAAACAAAGCTCAGAGTAAAACAAAACGAGCAGAACAAGTGGGATTTGAACACCTCTCCGAAGCTTAAGCCACCGCCTGCCCTGCGCTGAGCTGTGCCAGGCAGGGAACACGCGCAGCCGGTCAATGCAGCTGGCAAAGTCAGCTGGCAGTCACTTAGCCGGGAATGCCAGTCCTATCAAACCCAAACAGCGCGGAGAAGGGCAGCAAGCTCTCCCACCGTTTTTGCGATGACACCTCTAACACGCGGGATGTTTTGCGATACCGCCCAGAGCCCGGCCCGCGGGGACCCACCGACCCCAGCAGCGGAGCGAGGATCCCGGACGAGGATTCAACAGCGGGGCGCCAGGGCTGAACGCCTGCAAAGCGCTCGGACCGCGCCGGGCAGCGCTCAGGGCTCTGGGACCCCGGCGAGCCCCGGGGGGCTGCGGCAGCGGGCACGGAGCGCTCGGGGCTCCGGCCGTACCTGAGCCCTCAGCCCTGCCCTCAGCGCGGGCTCCGGCCGTACCTGTGCCCTCAGCGCGGGCTCCGGCCGTACCCGTGTCCCCACCCTCAGCACGGGCTCGGCCGTAGCCGTACCCTCAGCCCAGCCCCGCTCACCCTGCGGCCGCCGCTCCCGCCGCCCGTTCTAGAAGCGCCCCGGCCCTTCCAGCGCCACCTCCCGCCGGCCCCGCNCGCCCGAGGCCCCGCCCCCGCCCGCCCCCGCCGTAATGGCGCGGGTAGCGGCGCACGGACACTCTCCGCGCCGCCCGGGCTCTGCCGGGGTCCCGCAGCGCTGCTCCGCGGTGAAGAGCGGATCCACAGGGATCTCAGACCCCCGTGCAGCCCCTGCTCCATCCCTGGAGCAGCCCGCCCGGCTCCGGACGGGCTCCCTGCAGGCCGGCGGCAGCTCCGCTACTCCAGTACCGCCGAGGCAGCGCGCAGCGGCTCCGGGGGAGCCCCGGGCGGGTGGCGGGCGCGGGGCAGAAGGAAAAGGATGGGAATGAAGGAAAAGAGCCCCGGTGCCGGAGCGTGGCACGGCCGTGTGAGCACGGTGGCGGGCTCACCTGGCCGGGGCTCCGCCGAGGGCAGCAGCAGCCGGAGCCCGCTGGGTCTCCCGGGAGCGCGGCACCGCTTCGGGCGGGCACGCACCCGACACAGGCACGGCTGGAGCTGAAACAATGAGAAAATCATTCCCCAGCTCACCAGAACGCCTAATTTACTGTGTTTGCTCTTCAGAAACCAGTATTCACGCTAATTCTGAGTGACCATCATCATTGCCAATCATCCTAACAGTCACCTCTACCAAAAATAACATCTTTGCAATATTAAATAGAACCAGGAACCTAATTAGACCAAGCAAAACAGCATGAACAAATTAACTCTTGCTTTCCAAATTCACTCCATCACAAGCCCATTTTCTAAAGAGAGAGCTAGTGAACTACAACTGCAAAAACAAGGTTTTGGGAGATGACTCACCAAAGCACAATCTATAAGAAAAATAGAAAATAGGGAAATAAATATCTAACATAAAGGGGCAATTTCACTGAGGCTTTCAACAACTGCTAATATCATAAACCATAATAAAAGGGTCCAGCTGTCCCGTCACCAGAACATGCTAGCACAGTTCCATATGTTGCACATACATACACTTTGTGCATTAACGTTTATTGGGTGAATTTAGAAATAATTGCATCATTATCCATTAGAGAAGCAAGCACAGAGTCTGTGATGGCATTAAAGATATTAGTAAATTTTAGAGACTGTAAAAACACCATTAGTCTTTAGACCCAATGATGTGAGTCAGAGCTGGATTCCTTACTCAGTTCTGGTGCTTCTTTTTAAACCTATTTTTACTATAGACTTCTTGCTCTTTTGTGAGGGAGAAATAGAATTTTTTTCTCCTCTTTTAATAGAAAGAATTTAAAACGTGTTTGTTGAGGTATGTTGGGTTTGTGTGGCAACATTTTGGCAGTGGGGGCTACAGGTGTGGCATCTGTGAGAAGCTGCTGGAAGCTTCCCCCCATACCCAATGGACCCAATTGTCCATTGCTGCTGCACCATGCTGAGCCCATTGGCAACAGCAGCTGTATTAATGTACATAAAAAGGGAAAAAAAACTCCTGCACAACTGCAGACAGAGAGAGGAGTGAGAATATGTGAGAGGAACAACTGAACCTGGAGAGCTATGACATGGAGATCTGTTTAAAACCAGGAGAATCAAGCATCCTGTGGGTGTTTGAAGCCCTTACATTCCTTCAAAGTAAAAATCTATCTGCAGAGAGCTTGTCTGCAGAAAGTGCACACAAGTATTTTTGGATGCCCCCTTGTCTCTCATATTACAAGGGTTTGGTCAAGACCTAGGCAAAGGAAGTATTAAAATGAACTGAAGAGCACTTATGTCATGCCGTATAGGATTTCCCATAAAACAATGCAGTGAGTCAGAACAGAGGAGGCAGGAATATGCCTGGATAACAACTCCTTCTGACCTCAGCATAGCTCAGGTTTCTCCCTGAAACTGAAGCTAAAACTTACATGTGTAAAAAGGCCTTGTACAGGAATGAATTCTAAAATTAGCTGTGTCTGTTGCGCTTCCTTTTCTTTTCATGAATGAAAAAATAATCACACCAGATCCTAGAAAAGCAAGGATGGAAGCCAAAAGTCAAGGCATGCCAACATCCAATGTCTGCTGTTCAAAGGCCCAGCCAAAAGTCTGAGCAATGTCTTTACATCAGCTGTAGATAAAAGATTGTGCCATGCTGTGGAGGTGCTGTCTGCTGAAGTATCATCTAGTTATTATATTAGTCTTCCCGTGTACAGGTGGATCTCTCAAGCTGAGGATTTGGTGTACCAAAGGAAATACAAACTGTATTGCTGATGATGGGTAGAAGCCAGGGGGCTTCTGAGGTGAGGGAAGGGTATATGGATTGAGACAAGCCTCCTGTGCCAGATGTACCTGAGGTCTTGGCACTGAAAGCAAAATCACAGAGCATTTCCAAACAGCAAAATCCCTGAGCATTTGTCAGGAAGCCATCCTGAATCAAACCCATGGAGCATTAGAGAAACATCTCCATCACAAGAGGGTGGGACTAAGATGTAAACACTGGAAAAAGGCAACGTGACCAGAGGTGTGTACCTCATGTACATGGTGTACCTCACCTTGTACCTCATGTGTACCTCACCACGAACAGACCCGAGTACATCTTCCTTTTGGAATAACACACCGTGCACAGCAGCCACAAAAAGCTACATCAGGTTACTTGCACTTCCTCAGCCCACACAGCCCACTGCTCTACATGCCCCCACTGCTCCCCACTGGGCATCTGCTGTCCTGATTGCAGGTAACTTTGTCCAGCAGCCAGCTCAGGTGTCTCTGCGAGGGGCTGCCTGCACAGGGCTAAACAAGCCCAGTGTGTGAAACACGGAGGTATCAACTATACCATGCTTTGTCCTCTGACAGAACTCGGAGACCCTGGCTGCAAACAAACTCCTGCTCTGCAGGTTTCCTGAGCAGTCTGACTCGTGCCAGGATTCTCCTGGAATGGGCAAAGGGCTTTATGCTGACAGACTGTTTTGGGAAGTCAGTCCTGTGAGGCCCCGAGCCTCCCCAGTGCTGGTGCAGCTGAGCTGAGCAGACAGGGAGGCTGCAGGCAGTCATGAATAACTCAGTGTTATTCAAGGCTGCACCCCTTGGGGACACTGAAGTGCAACAGGGAAGTGAAAGGATGGGATTTATGCCTTAAATTCTGCTGCAGATAATCTAGACAAGAGGTGAGGTAAACACACAGCATTCAGATGGAAAAGGTCTGTCATACAGAGCCCTGATCCAGGCACACTAAAGCTGGATTCACCAGGATCCTCCCAGGGAGGGACCTGATGGCTCCTGTTCCTATTCAACATAATTATGGTCTGGTGGAGGCTGGTCTGGCAGGGCTCTGAGCCGTGCCCAGCTGCACATTCACAAGGCCATTTAAACTTCTGCAAACACAGAAAAAACTGCTAATTGCCTGACTGGCTTATTTTAAACTGTACAAGTGCACCCATACAGAATTTGAGGGGTCTGACTGCAGGGATGGAAAAAGACACATATTCTCCCCTTTTTATTTAAAATTGCATTGCCCATGTTTTAATTAGATTTTCCAAATTATCCAGGGATGATAATTTGGAAAGAATCAGGGGATGTAGTGATGCAGACTGCAGTCCTTGCTAAGCATCCAAGGGACATAAGGCAGCTTTTATAAAAGATGTTCTGACATTGCCCTTTGAAGTCTGTCAGGGGACAGCGATAGACAGCTCTGAGGACTGTGAGCTCCATCATTTGCATGCAAAGGAGGCAGTGTCCAGGCTGAAACATTTTTTAACCATATCCACATTTCATGGTTTTTAATCAAAACTTGGCCCCTGCCTCAGCAAATGAATAAACTCTTTTGTAAACTTGGCTAGCAGGAATGATGAATCACCCTGTGTTCTCTGTTTGAACTAAGAAGGAAATGCCCTAAATGGCTGGAGCCTGAGGAAGATGCTGATTTGTGCAGAAAGACACATTCCCATCTCCCTGTGTCACCAGAGCTGGGGTGTAAGTGAAGAATGCACCTGGGTGGCTGGCAAGCAGGCACCTCCGAGCATGGCCCACCCAGCCCCTGTGCTCTCCACAGAACAGTGATTTTCACTAAAAGAAATGAAGACTTTGAAGTAACACAGACAGATCACCCTGCCTGAAGCTCCGAAAGCAAACTGCAAGGGATTTAAGCTTGTGACACATTTAATATAGGGGCTTGTGGAGGAGAAGCACATTTTCTGCATAATAAATTCCGAGAGGGAATGTGGAAGAGGTCTGGGTCATCCCACACTGCACTGGGCAGGCCTTTCTGTGCATGCCCTGGATTTCAACACAGATTCTGCACAAGGCTATGCAGCCAGTGGAAAGGCTCTGTAAATCATTCCTTCACAGACTGCAGCATAAATCAAATCCAGAAATAGGAAAGGACAGCCAGTCACATTATTTCTTTTAGGTTTAGAGAAAGATGTTGTTAAGAAATATGGGCAAAAGACATTACAAACCCATGAAAAAAACCCACAAAAATCTCAACCTTTATTTTATTTAGGCTACTAATTAGTGAATGAAAAAGCAGACCGTAAAAAAACCCATACTGAATCAGTCTGAAGTCAGACCAGGATGAAGTATTACTCTCTGGAGAGATGGTAATTTGCAGTCACTGCACTTTAGGTGGCAATCATCTGCTGGGCATAGCTCCTACTATGTGTGTGGGTTTTCCACATGGAACTGAGGTATATTTATCCAAAAAAGATTCCTTATATGAGGAAACGGTCACTGCATCTGGGTTTTTGTACTAAAGAGAGCAGCCTGGGCAAATGCTGCTTGCAGGCTCTGTGGTTTCACTGCTGACTGGCTCCAGCACTCTTAGCTCTGTGTCCTTACTCATTCAGCATCAGCCTGTGCTGGCTTTTCACATCCCATCTTTGCACACAACATAATTTACAGACACCTTGGAAGG